TGCTTTCTCGGATGTGATTACATCATTTAGGATAAGTACGGGCTCTTTAAAAAAAATCTATTTGCAGTTAATGGCAAAGGTACAAAAAAGCACAAAGAAATGCCTCTCTACATTCAAGCCATTAGTTTTTAAGTACATGTACTTGCATTGTCCCATAAAATATTAAGTACAGCAGAGGGTTAAAGGGACCGTCTGTCAATCACATTTTGTATTACAGCTATCACTGATCTTGTGTGCGTGGTATTTTGATAATAGCCTGCCCTAGGGGAAACCTGTCTATTAAAGATCATTTCACAGTATTAAAGTTAAAAAAGAAAGTGTAAATCTAACTATTTCATCCTCTTTTACAACTCATTCGCAGTGGTAGATTATTTAAAGTACTTGCATTTATGGCAAAAAAACAATCACATTTGCTTGTAATCTCCTCAGATTTTATTTGTGTAATACAATATTCTATTAAGGATTTGGCATTATAATGTTCTCGTTACCCGACTAAATTTAGTCTCATTTTCGTTCACAATCTATTTGATATCTTGCAAATGAGAAACACGGCTTTGAATGGATGAGATGTTTGGCATGTACAGTATGATGCAACAACTTAAAAAAGCAGACTATTAAATCATACAGATTTATAAGAACTATCTTAGACTATGTAGTCATGTAACTCATAATTGCTACTATAATTATCCTTTGTTAGGTAACAGAAAACCAGAAAACCACCACCCCCCCCCCACCCCCCCCCCCCCCCCAAAAAAAAAAGTCCTCCCAGTGATTACATCCCACACGAGACTGGGATGAATTTTCTGTCCCAAATCATATACACAAGACGAAGGGTAAATATTCCAGTTGCCATGGGAACCATCATCAATTGCATCTCTGGACTGCTAATTGCGGTTTTATTATTCAACAGGTCGGCTTGGGGCTGCCAAGTTGTCTTCACTGTATTCAAAATTTGTGCCACTTGATGCAGACACTCTGATTATTTATTACTGATAGTCTTTATTTTTAGACACTTGTTCATTGTGCTTGTGTAAAGTAATAAGTGTAATAATTGTTTTTTTATTATATCATTTTTCTAAGCAATAACACAAATACTTGCAATATCAAACTTCAACAATGTTATGAAAAGAATATGTTCTTTTCAATTTTTTATATTCATATATTGTCTTAATGACTCTTTAAAAGATACATGTATGCAATTCATATTTTTTGATGTACATGCATTTTCTACAACTTCCTCTTTACTTCTTTTCTTCATGTTTCTCCTCTCCGTTTTCTTGACTTCATGTTATATTCTGTTTTCTTGTTTTTGCTGCCTAAGCAATCTTACCATATTAAATATATATATTTCAATATTGACAAATTAATTGTAACTGTATTTTATGTTTGAAATATGCATTGAGTGTTTTACTTGTACACATGACCAATTCAGCCATTGTGCTGGGACACATGTGTTTAATAAACCTTGAATTGAATTGAATTGAACATAAACTTTCGGAGGCAACGCAACATGTATCATTCAGGGCTAAATGAATGTTTGGTAGATGTTGAACTTTGAATGTTGAAATGTTGAATCTATTTTACATTTTGTATGATCAGATAAATATTAAAGTATTCCCTTCAAAGAAATGTGCAAGGCTAATTAAGCCTGAAATGTATTAAATGAGCATCAAAGACCTTTATTGTAATCATCCTTTTTTTTTAAATACAAAGATTGCCTTAGGTTAGATGCGATAACCAAATATGAAATAGAAAGACATGTGCAAGGCTACTAGCCAGACATGTATTAAATGGCCGTCAAAGTCCGTTATTGTAATTATCTTTTTTTATAAGATTACCCAAGGCTAGATAAGATAAGTTTAAAAGAAAGAGAAATGTGCAATGTTATTTAAATAGAAGTTTCAATGCGCGTGGGCCGTGGGTGTATGATTTCTTTTGTTTAAATCGCTTTCCCTCCTGAAATCGGTCAGTATACTATTTGACAAATGTACGAGGCTAGAAGCGAGGCTTGCCGTGCCTAGGGGCATCAAAGTTTTTACTTTCTAATTACATGTCTTGAAATCCGTCGGCTGTGTGCAGGTAGACCATTACTGCCATTGTTAATGCAAAGCTCTTGTGGCCTTCTAGTGGGTGGTTGATAAATTATTAAAGATATATTATACAAGCACTCCTTTTCAATAGGTTCCTCACATTCTACATTAGCTATTATATGAATTGAGAATCATTGACATGTGCTCATTTACACTACAATTGTAATGTATAATTTGTTATTTTATATACATGTATGTTTATATTTTCTGTAAAATTTGGAACATTAAACTTGAAAACTTGAACTTGAAAGATGAGTTAAAATAAAGTATGCTGTCACTAGAAATGCACAAGACATGAAGGTTTTATTTTGTTAGTTGGTATATTTTAATTCGTCCTTTAGTTTGTCAATACATACGATTACAAAATAAAAAAGAAAGAGTGCGAATTAACTCATTGGTAACTGAATCATTTGATTCCCATAAGCTTACTACAGGGACTACCTGTTTCCTGTAAGCAATGGGTTAAGCATTACATTATCTGCTGAGAAGAAGACAGGCATTAACTCATGTACTTTAATGTAGAGTTAACACCTTTCTTGCTCTCAACAGTATATCGTCGGAGGGGTGACAAAACCTTGTATCTCAATTTTTTGAGATTTTGATTTTTTCTGCATAATTGTGTACCTAGTGGCCTAAGACACCACCTGATAAATCCATGGAACGCCTCCTGTCTCCGTTTTTTCACAAAGGACGGTGTCACAGCACTAAATCTGTTGAGACAGGAAATGTTTTTACGCTCTCCTGAAAATTCATGATTTTTGAGATACGAGGTTTTGTCACCCCAGTACCGACGATATGTACATTTGCCTCTAAAGAATTAATTAATTGTATAATGATAACAGTAGTTATAAGTATTTATTGATTATTATTACTAGAAAAATAATTATTATTAATGCCATTACTACTACCGTTGCCATTACCTTTCCCATTACCATTACCATCGACTCAATACTGTACTTCCTGAGGGCCCTGTAAAAATTATTCCCCCAACAATTGCCAGGTACCCATTTACACCTGGGTGCATTATTATTAGATTATTAATAATAATTCAGTTCCTAACATTGACTGGGATCAAACACTATTCCTGACCTTAAACCTTAACCCTAACCATAAAGCTAACCTGAAACCAAAGTCGCACAGTTTTATCTGTGTTTTATGCAATCTAAGTCACAGCCCTTCAGTCCATATTCTACTAATTCAGCCAAACCCCATTTTGTCTTCAAGGTCACAAAAGGAAAGTTTAGACCTCAGACGAACTTCCTCTGTCAAACCCTATTTCGGACGAAAGTAAACACCCACTGCTGGGAATAAAGTTAGTAGAATACAGCACTTTCTCTTTTGATGAAACCTAATCCAAAACAAATGTCATCCGTCGGATCTTGGCTTTGCAAATAGAATCACCGAATGAAGAAACTTGAAGAAACAAAAGCAGTGCAACCTAGAGTTCTTCGCAGAAACAATCAGCATGGGTACCTATATGGCAGACTTGTCAAGTTGAAAATGCATTTATGCATGCAAAGGATCAGAGTTATTCTGAACTCTTCATGTTACCACAGTCAGACATTGAATTATGAATAATGTATAACTTGAGTTTCCTTGGTTATTCATTGCCGTAACTTGCCTTGGTTTGTGCCTAAACTAGGAGCTGCCTATCCTACATATGATATGTGCTTTCGTTGGGAATCGCTATTTTTAGCGGGCATCGGGATTGACGTCATCGCCTGAGATCGGAGAGGGTTGTTTTAGACCACGGGTTAGTGATCTACCGAGAAAAAGGGTAGACGAAAAAAGCAGACGAGTTGGCAGTCCGTCCTCAGGGCAAAGAAATGATTAGCACCCAACTCGAAGATACATGCTACCCCTAGCCAAGCTTATATGTGTTAGAACATGATGGATATTAAGTATGGAGCAGAGGAGCTCGTCCATGTAACGGCTTGATCGGAATGAAAACGGTGGGGTTGCCAATTTGGCTACATGCATGTGATTTATGAGTGGTAGTGCGCAGATGAAGGAAGAGGACCTGGTTATTTTCAATTACATTCACACTGTGCAGTAGGGACCAATACTGACCTTATCCATTCCTGTATTGTGTTGCTGCTAGTTGAATTGCCAATTTGAGGATGTAGGTATTGTGCAGATTTGCTTTTTTTGTTTTTGGTTCCGTATTTTTTTTTAATAGAAAGAATTCAGAAATTCTAGAAATTCTGGGAAAGCTGGCTGATCATAAATATTTTATCTTGCAAATCTATACATCACTTTTTTCAGTATGATGGTCATGTGACTAGAAATATCATGTTCATTACCTAGTCCCACTTGTTCCCTGAACATGTAACTAAAGATTCAATTTTAGCATCTAAATATACAATTGTGAAGGGATTATAAGCCTAGTCCCATTTTCCAGCTTGTGAAATACAGTGTAATGTGATTATATGAACTCAAATCGATCACTGTATCTCCATCTCCACTCTTTCTTCTTTTTTAATCACTTTCTCTTGTCTCAGTTATTATTTTTTTTTTTTGGCCAGGTGTCTTTGTCCCCTTGCTTTTGGTTGCATGTTTACCTTGTATTGTTTCATATTTTGTTATGGACTTCAATATAGATTATATTTGATACATATTGTATCTTTGTTGGATTGATTGTAAGACTTGTTTTTTTTCTTCACTTCAGATCTGTAAACTTGATGATAGCTGTATGAAATATGGTTTTACACTCATTAGATAATTATTTCTGGCATAGTCATAGATGATCATGTCAACAAAAAAAACAAAAAAAAACAATCACACACAAAAACAAGCACAAAAATAAAAAGATAGCATTTGTTTGAATTTGAAACTGAATTACAAGTACTATGATGATCATGTATTAAACATTTCTGCTTTTCTTTCTCAATCTCTTTTTTTCATCCTCAGATATTCAGTTGATGTACCACCTGAGGACGTGACAGAGTACTGTTTTCTCACTCGCTGACACGAAAAGGTATGCGTGGGATTATGTAGTTTATAATTCATCATTTCTATGTTTTAAATATACATGTTTGGAAGTGCCTAATTTCCTCTTTTACCCACACGTTCCTTCTGCCCAAGGGACAATACATTCAAGGAAAACAGTTGATAATCGACATGAAAACTACATGTAAACTACATGTTTTTGATTATTTTCACCTTTAATTTACACATAGGGAACTTCCCTACCTACATTGTCTATCCGGGGGTCATGGTCACCCCATTTCTCTATCAAAAGGTTTTATACATTACCTTCATATATTGCTCCACCCACTTTCAAATTATCTCATAAGCGAGCCAGCCCACGTGCTCACTTGAAATTAATTCCTCCCCCTTATCTAGGGCACTGAATCTAATAAAACTAAGATCATACCGTTGATATTTAGAATCATGATATAACAAGATATTATATCAAATGATAGAGATCTGACAATGACATAATGTAAATTGCAAATAGGTCAAGTAGGTTTGATATCCAGGTATGCAATCTGTTATACAGTTAAAAAATAAATTATTCATACCCTTACCAAGTTTTGTTAAGTATGTGAAAAATTGATTTGTCCCTATTTTAATTTGAGAATGTGATTTGTTACAGTCTACATCTAAAAGTATTCAACAAAGGCCCTAATTCAACCAGTCCACCTTTTATTCTGGAGTTATGAAAGAAACAAACAAAAAAGCACATCAAATTTACAAGGGTATGAATATTTAATGTTTTGACTGTATGTAAAATGAGCTATTTTTGTCTCCATTATATGAGTTACGTGTATTACAACAAAAATCATCAGCTCTATGATTATTGGTTCTTTAGGATGTATACTGTATTTGTGTTGCCATGGAGATTAAGAAGTTGAGCATGAAGAGGATGAATGAAAGGGTATTAAGATTGATTGAAAGATGTAGAAAAGAGCAAAATATTCATTTGAATCTTAGAAAGAATACACATAGCCTTACATTTCGGTCGACAAATTCTGTCGACAAGGTTTCTTTTTGTTTTGTTTTTAACTCAAAACAAGTGGGTAGAAATGAAAGCATGGAGGATAAAGGACTTATCTCTATCAAAGCAGGTTTGAGTTTTCAAGAAAATAGGATTAAAAAATAGATTGATTTCAACTTTGCACAGAACCTGCACTACATGAATATATTTTAATTTCATCTAGAGACAGAAGAGCATCTCTGCTGTAACACAGAGTTAACACCATTCTGGCTGTGCATGAGCAGATGATCTTATACATACAGATGAAAAATAATCTGCCTCTAAAACTTGTGAAAAAAAATCTCATCTTTCCTTGATAACTGCAAGTTGTTTTGTTTGAGCTGGGCGCTTCTTCTCCAGATGTATTCAAATCTATTTCAGGAATTGCTTATTGACTTTCCAGTCTTGTGAATATTGTGAAGTAAAGCCTGAAGAATGCACCTGCATCCATCTAAAGGCCTGTTTGTTGCCGGTGTACATGTAGCTTGTGACTGAATTCTGCTTCTGTTGACGTGACAAAGCAGTAGAGTGGACACAACGCAGTGTTTCCTTTTAATATGTATCTATACCTTCCCTAAATGCCACAGGTATCATTTTAAGTTTTACATTCCCACATCCCTGCCATCGATTCTCCTAAACTTCAGATGAGTAAGATGCAGACATTCTAAAACCACAGATGGTTGGTTGTTTGGTTGGTTTGTTGTTTGATGTACAATAAATGTTTATCTTACCAAATACCGCATGTATCTTTCGACAGTGAACATGCATGCATGTATGTACCCCATCCCTACTCGACAGCATGAATGCCACCGATTCTCCTAAACATTCAGATGAATAAGATGTGGACATTCTAAAGCCGCAGATGGTTGTTTGTTTGATATTAGGTAATGATTATTCAACCAATCTGTCTTGAAATCATTACAAAAGCCATCCAAGTGTTCTGCAGCTATGCTACTGTAGCCATTTTGGTGGATTTACACAAATCAAATTATGTACAGCTCCACAGAGGTGGCTTAATTACCATACAATAAACCCTGTTTGAGATTCTAAATTTCTAAAAAGGTCTTTCAGATTTGTTGGCCCGAATTCACAAAAGAGGTTTGTAGATAAACATAGGTTTATGGACAAACCTAGGTTTATGTGCGTCATATTACTTGTTTCAGACCAAGGTTTGTCTGAATCTTGGTCTGAAACGCATTGAAATGCATCATATGGCGCACATAAACCTAGGTTTGTTGACAAACCTCCTTTGAAAATTTGAGCCTTCATGTTTGTAGGATCTTGTTTGAAATAGTTCAAACTCATTAAAAGCACAATCAGAAAGAATTTTGAGAAATAATAAAAGGTCCATTTATAAAGCACAGCTACTTTATGGATATCCTCTACTGTGCTTTAATAATACAAAAAGTATCATATTATAACTCCAGCTGAAGCTGAGCTGCCATAATGAGGTGCTCAAGCAGTCAAAGACTTACTTCCTACTGGTAACCCATTTACTTCACCTGGGTGGAGAGTGGAAAATGTAGATCAATGTTTCCAGGCTAGCAATCGTGCGCAGAACTCTGGGAAGATAGCAGGTCGCATTGGCATGCGTGGAGGCTGCTGCATCTGTGCCTTCGATTCAATATGTGACTTTAATGTTTATTTTCTATTTGTTATTTACATGTAAATGATTAACATTGAATAATTTTCAAAATGTAGGGGGGGGGGTGCTGCCCTCATATCCCCTTTGGAAACACGTCCCAGCTGCTAGCCTGGTGCAAGGACGCCGCAACATTTTTCCTTTTCTTTTTTTTTTACCTCACTCACGTGCCTGCTCTAGGTGATTTGAATAGCCTTGTCTATTTTCTATTGACATGTTTTTTTTGTTGGGGGGGGGGGGGGTAGATCTTTATATTGTGGAACTTCATTTTAAAGAATACTGTCATACAAACTTTTATCATAATAACATTAATTTGCCAGCCCTTCTTTATGTATTCTTGATAATAAGGTTTTGTCATTAAGAGGTAATTTCATTGGTCACAAGGAATTTTTATGATGAGGTTCCCCTGTATTTAATTATCTGCCACCATCATTAGATGTGCTTCCATTCTCTCCCTCTCTCTCTTTCTCTCTCTTTCTCTCTCTTTGACCTTATACCGTTATCCCCCTGTTTTTTTTTCAGTTTCATTTATTTCTCCTCAAGAGATCAACAGATAAATTTTTTTTAAATGTAAATTAATGTATGACGATACATAATATGAATTATAAAAAATGAGGAAGGCAGTGGCCAATAAAGGAAACAAACCTTGTAAGAGGCCAACTCTTCTCTGTCAGTCTTTCATCTCATTTTAAAGAAGAAGTAGATCACCTGGTCAGTTATTCTCCTTTCGCTTGAGTGATAATTGCTATGTCAAAACGACCATTTGGGCCGGAGATGATAGAATTTGAGTACGAGGTGACCGATGACATGTCTCTGTGTGTCAACGGTTATGAAAGAACAAAGTAACAGGAGTAACTCGGTAGAATTTTCATATCGGTTTGGAATTGTCGCAATTACACAGATACCCCTCTGAGATAATGCAAGTAAATTAAGTCCTAAGGACAAAAGAAATGGTGGATAATTGATTTGTCTTCCCCTTGCAAGACTCTGTCTTCTGTTTTGTCGTTAAAGGCAATCTCTTTCAAGATAATTATTACCCACGTATGAGAAAAGAGGTTCAGTTCAGATTGATATACAGTGTCTCTTGCATGTCTTCCAGTGAATGATTTTTTTTGTGTGTGTTTTTCGCTAGTAGTAATTTACTTTAATTCATATTCTTATGGAGTTCTTGATATATATTAGGACAATGATGTTCCATTCTCTTTTAGCGCATTTCACATTATGATATATACACGTATCTGCATCCAAGATAGCTTAACATGTAGGAAATAAATACACTAAATGTTCAAGATTACAAATAAATGACATGTGCCAAACAATTTTGGTAGAAAAAAGTATAGTGGCTGAGTAATGAGCATAGAGAGATAAGGAAATCCAGATACTGTAAGTACATGTACACTGTCGGCCCGACATGTGCTTAAAAACAAAGGTCACTATGTGCAAACGGGATTATTTTTCAAATGATACCCAGTAAATTTTTGTGCATTTGTTTTTATTTCACTGGTGCAAACAACTTATCTACAGCAGAATAAACAATTCAGAATTAATCGTAGCAAATTTTTCTCAAAATAAGATTCTCATACCAGAGCTCGAGATGTGTTACCATCCATCTGGCTTTGAATGGATTGTACCTTCAGATATTTTATTATAAAACAAAAAATAAAGAGTTCTTATTCAATTGCATTTGTAACTGATGGAATTTGATCATCTGTAGAGCCAGAAGGGCATTGACCCCATGTAAAATAATATGAGTAAACTCCTTTCTGCCTCTCAACAGACGATAGTCACCCAATATTTTATTGCCCAACCTGTCCAAATTTTGGCCCGTGGGACTGAAACGGGAGAATATGACCTTTAAGAACTAGGGACAATACTGGCTCAAGTATATGCACAACCAGGAGATGATGTATTGAAAAGCTAATGCATTAATTTAGCTCATAATAATCCTTCTATTGATATCCTATGCATGATTAAGATGTACCGAACGTGCATGGATTGGGTGACTTCATCGGAAATTGTTAATTTACTAGCAGGTATCATGTTTTAAAGTCACTTCTTTATTAATGCTAAATATAGTAATTACAGTTGGGAATGTTTGGGAAATATAGCCCAATTACACATGGTGCACATAACTGAAACCCCTAATCGAAACTAAAAACATTATATTTGTAAATTTAGAATAATTGTTAATTTAGTTGGAGGTCTCATGTTTTAAAGTCTCTCCTGTATTAAAGCTAAATATAGTAATTGAAGTTGTGATGTATGGGAAAGATAGCTCAATTACACATGGTGCACAAAACTGAAACCCCTAATCGAAACTAAAAACATTATATTTGTAAATTTAAAAATAATTGTT